GTACGACGTACGTGCGATGCAGCCTGATGGAATAACGATCATTTTGCTAACTTTATTCTCAGTATGTATACGAGGAACAAAGTATTGCGTTAATGTCACCAATTATTGTTTCTCTTTCAATAAAAATTTTACGATAAATTTCCGCCGCTAACGACATTCTTAAGCTGAAAATTGGTACTTAGGAAACAGCCATTCATAAAAGGATTGAGTTTCTGCAAAAATAGAGAGGGCACTAGCTTGTGAACCTCGTGGATGGAAACGTGATTCCATGAATATAGCTACATAGCGGTGGTCGCTGCAACGCATTGTCTTTTCAAAATGTACGTTAATAAATAAAGTTGCAACTTGCTTCAACATCTTTTCATGCAAAAATATACATAAATTTTTTATTTAAAAAAATTAATGTACATAAGTTCTATATGTCTCCTTAAATTAATGTGTATTCATCATTGGAACAATGGAAGATAAATATTATTATTCGATCAATCCCTCGAGCATTAACGGGCACGCCACTCTACTTTTAATATTCAAACCAAACGCAGCTTGTTCATCGTAGCAGATAATAAACCAGTGAGTAAATAAAAAGGATGTGTCGAGTAGTGAAGGATTCCAGTGAACATATCCAGATAAATGCGGTGTCCCCCGAGCGAGTCGGGGAGCAAAGCTAGAGCCAGCAAGCTTGCGAGTAGAGCGCGACCCGATCCAAGGTAATCCCCCAGAGTTGGCTTCGCGACCACATGCTTAATGCGTCTAATGAGCCTTGGCGAGTATTATCACCAATTTCACACGGCAATATATAAACACATGCTCACTCGGGCGATGTATTATTAAAATGTTGTGTAGTTTTATGATTGCTAACTTAAGAAAAGAGATGTATGTCGAAAATGAAGAAGGTCCAATCATGTAATTTTAGTCGACAGTTGATGACGTCATTCACAAGCACTCGCCCTCGCACACACGTACGCACGCACACGCACAGAGCTTTTATCAGTATTATAGAGTTTGATAGTTTGGTAATGAAGAATACATACGCTTTGCTTATGGCTACAATAGCTCTATCAAACCGAAGCCATGATGAATGTTTTTACGTTTGTTATGACGAATTTAAACGAAGGTGCTTCTCATCGGAGCTTGTGGTATCCTAACAGTAATGACGATATGAACGTTTGGTTCTGGATACTCGGCGACAAAGTAAATAGAAAATCTCGCCCCTAACGTTAGTTCCTGCGCGATGTCGAAAGGGAAGTAAGCTGATGTGGCTGGCGATATCAGAAGTAGTCTCAGCTAGAGAGGTGTGTTCGATGATATGATACGGCGGGAGCCTTGAACCTGACACAGTGTGCGTTATTGCTTCGCGTTTGATGCAAATTCACACTATTATCAGTAAATTACCACGACGAGTCGTGGGTCGTAATATTAATTTTAGTCCTTGTAATTTTAACTTTGCCAGTAAATTACACTATTTTCAATTCGACGAACACATTGCAAGTATGTTTATATTTTCAATCTGCGACACTGAATATCGCATCCCATATTTAATTTTATCTTGATTGAATTGTGAATAGGAATAAATACACCGCTTTGTAACGCTTTGGACGGAAATTAACAGTGCAGCGATAAAAAAAATTTTGAAGATAACCTGCATTGGAATTACATATAAAACAATCAATTATGTGCCCACAAATACTTCACTTTTTTCGTGCCGTTAATCTATGCATCGCGAAATAATTTTTCCACGCTCGTCCTTGAAGCAGTGAGCTTAGAATCCCAACTGTTTGCCACCGATATATCATTTTCAAAGCATCCGCCCAGCTAGTTCAGTGTGTATATGTGTGTGTGCATTAATAGCGGGAGTACGAAAAAAAAACAACGTCGAGATTTATTCGGCAGTTAATGTCACCTTAAATAAGCGCGCTGGCATTAAAAAAAGCAAACAGGCGGCAATTGACCGCCTAAAATCACGAACCTCGCGAGCGAAACAATAACCAGATGTAAAAAAATGCTTCGTGTATTTTCAGCAACTCGCCTTGGAATATATCTGAGCGATAAGGATCTTGAATGATTAATTATGTATATGGCTTGGGTTCTATCTAACGATGAAGATTATTGAGCCAGACTCTATCGCGATACGTGCACAGGAAGGGATATTTCTAAGACGCTAATTATCTGCATAATTACATGCACAATCTCATCTCCATATCATCTATAGTTGGTTAAGGATTATATCGGTTGGTCAAAGGTGATCTAATACGGTCCTATTTGATTAATAGCAGCCGATGCAGCATATACGTTATCGACGAAATATATTTTGTTATAAGACGTTTTTCACCATTACTTATTTTACTTATTTTCAAGAAGGTAAACAAATCATTCGGTAACATCAGACGATTGTTTTACAGAATACCAATAGATGCAATAACCTTTCAAGAGTCAAAGTGCTTTGAAGCGTGCTTCGGAAATAATGACATTACCAACGCGAAATCGCTGAAATAGAGAGCCCAGTTGTGAAAAATCTCGAGCTTGCCGCAGCATTAACGAGCTTGGATCGTCGAATCGTTTGACGCACGCACATAACGCTCGACTAAAATCAGCCTGAGAGATCGCGCGCTCGTGCGTCACCGCAGTCTACGTAGAACGCGCACAAAAGCGTTTTTATTTTCGTTGTGCCCGCTGGCTGCATTGTAGATTAGCCGGCACGGCGCGCAACGAGCGAAACTCGCGATACGCGGCGTTTTTTCTCGACTGGACAGCTGCGGAAGATGAAGCACGTAAATTCTAGCGAGTGATTATTATTAGTCACGATTGCCGACGGATCGAACTGATATTACAGACGGTGAGTGTGGTAAGCCATTGGTTTGAAAAAAATACTTCGTAACGCTATCAAAGTTAGGCTATTCTTATCTAAAATTTATTTATTTTTATTATCAATTAGCATTTTTATTGAGTCGTTGAAAAAAAGCCACGTTAAAAATTGCAAATTACTTTTAAATTGGTTCATTGTACTCGTGAAAATATTATCGTCTATCGATAAAAATAATCTTATTTAAGCTTCACAATATACTTTTACACTGTTCTATTAAGGGAAAGTAATTTAAACAAAGTTGAACAAATAATAGTCAGGAAGATGGAATTATCAAGACCTGTGGTGACCCAATGACTTGTTTTACCAAATTGGGTAGTTTCGAACTCTTCCTATCCGTACAGATGGCGGCAATACCGAGAATTTTGCATCAAAACCACATTATACAGCATCGACAAGCAGTACTGAATGTCAATTGTAAACATGGTAATTGTCAATAAAAGAAACTTGATCAAAAATTAAACTCATCACCAGTACAGGAATTGATATTATAGATACTTAATACTTGATGCGCACGACAGCAAGTCTAGGAATGAAATATTTCAAAGGATGCGTTCTTTATAAAAGCTGCGAATACAAAAGTATTTCGAAGTCGCGTACAAAAGCGCGCTCGAAAAAAACTTAGGCGGGCACTGTGAGTGCTGCTCTTGAGCAGCGCAGGGGAGCATTAAATAGCGACAAAAGAAATCACAACGTAAAGCTCGTTCGTGCGAATTTCACAGGGAACGTTGTTCTCTCTCACTCTCACTCTCTCTCTCTCTCTTTTGCGATCCTTTGTAGCGCACAACACACATTAGCCTTATACGCGCCGAGGCACGCGAAATATGTAAAAACTGACCGAGCTTGGGTCGGAGAGTGAGAGAGCTTTTGAACTAGACTGCTAAGTAAGGCCGCGTTACAGTGTGCGCTTGCTCGTGGGACGCACTTGTTTGGATTTATGCTTTCACGTGTATGCTATCTCGCGCGGAGCTGGCATGCGAACAGCCGCGTGCATTAGTCTGATTGTGCATACAGTAGCTTGAGAATCGAGCGCGTTTTATCTGGTTTATTAGGTATGCCGCGCTTTCTCTGTCTCTCTCTCTCTCTCTCTTGCTCTTTCTCTCGCTGTCACTCTTTTATTTTATTTTTTTTTTTATTCTTTGATGTATTCGCCCATGTGGGCAATTACCGAGACCTTTATCACTGTCTTTCAACGCTAACGTTCCTTTTATTTATTTCTTTTTTGATGCGTAACAAGAGCGGGTTCATTCGCTGTTTTAAGCGCACAGTGCTTTTCGGCCACCACCTTTTGCAGGCGAATGAGGTTCTCTTTGAACTGTGAAATGTTGCGAATGTTAAGTTTATATTTACGATTGACGTATTTTTGGCATGTGTGCGTGCGTGTTGAAATATTGAAGGAAATATCGATTTGGAAAACGAAGTGTAAAAAAAAAGTGTAAAGTATGTTTTTAAAAAGCGATAATTTAGCTGCGATTCTGGTGTAAATGGTAATAAAATTAATTCTTATGATAAATTTTATTACTTTGATTAATTTCATCAACTTGGATTGTTTGCAATATGATTATAGAAATGAAAGATAATTCTGTAGTGACATCTCGAGCTAATAACATTGACTTGATTATACAGTTTTCAATCCACAATTATGAAAAGACTGTAAGATCACCAATACAGCAGTCATATGACTTAAATAACGAGTAAAAATCACGTTATCTATCTCTCTCTCTCATGGCCAAGAAAATGTTCGCACCTGATAAACGCTCAACAATCCGTCAAATCATTAGCACGTCACAGCAAAAGCCACGGCGGCGACGCGCGGGAGGAAACGCTTGGCTTGATACGCTTACAAACTATGGTGCGACAAGTAAAATAATTCCCCGTCGCAACGTAGATAGCTGAAGCGGCTGCGTTAATGAAAACATCGTTATATAGAGCGTGAAGCAGGTGGTGCGGCGGCAAGGAATATCAAACTGATAAGAAACTTGGGGTCTCTCTCTCTCTCTCTCTCTTTCCCCTTTGCAGATAGGAAACTTGGGCGAAATTGCTTAACTGTTTCTATCTGTCGAGCTATTCAAGGCACTGGTGCGACCCCTTTAACACTAATGGCTTGTGAAGTTTGAAAGGCCTAGGTTAGTTTACTTACGGCGTTGTTGTGATTCCAGTATATGTAAGCCGGTGGCTCAGGGCTGTGCAGTACTATGCAGGTGAGGTTGATCGTGCTACCACGGTCGATGTACAGATCCGGTCCGCCTAAGATCTCGGTTACCGGCTCTGAAATTGAGAAAACACAAATTATTAGACAATTTTTTAGTGTTATTGTCAATTAGCTAACGAATGCTAATGTGTTTAAGGAGCTTCCTTTACATATTATAACAAATTAATTTTTCACTGATGAAAACATTATCCAATTATTGGAATTCATATTTAAATAAATTGTCAAGTATAATGCTTGTTTTTTGCTCAGTAATTTACAGTACTAGATTTTTAGAACAACAAAGGAAAAACGAATAATTAAATAAATCTAGCAACATTCATAACCTCATTATTTTGATACAATAAGTTATTGTTTAGTGAATTAAAATCTATAAATTAATAGTTCATGAAATTAAGTTCTTATATTTGTAGAAGATATCCACCTAGTAGTCAATATAAGAATTTGAACTAATAATAAGACGGACAAGGAGTGCTATTCTACAGTATTAACAAATAGTAACACATTTGTGCTGGTGTAATATTAGTTACCAATAAAAAAATTTGCTTAAAAATGAAATGAATTATTTAATAAATAGACTTTTTTTAAAAAAGTAGCATGGAAATATTTTGACGCGTTCAGGTACGTATAAAGTTGTCAAAATAATGTGCCTGAACGGTTTTATTTAGCAATTTTAGCTCAAAAATGGCAAAATATCATTTAGGAGACTCGTTGAGCTTGCCTCATTAATCATTTGGACCACTGTTTCAAAATTTATTTATATTTATTGTATTTTATATTGTTATCAAAATTAGTGCCAGATCAGCAAACACCAAACCTGTTTCCTCTACTGGATTACATTCTATTGTAATGTATTGGTATTTGATAAGATATTATTAATATATATTACTTTATTTTAAATAAATAAATAGTATTAATTTATAGCGTGAACAGTCTATGAATATATTTATTTTCAAGCTGACTCTTTTCAAGGTTTTAAATTTACAATTCAGGCATCCGTTTAGTAGCGAAATTTGTAATTTGAAAAATATTCATACATCGCACGAAAAGTTGAACTTCTAGCAACAAAATATTTTGCAACAAAATACGGATTTTCTCGACAATAAAATTTCTTTTCGGTACTATATACTGGTAATTGCACGTTAAAGTCAATCAAAAAGCAAACGATCAAACTTGAGAGAATATCCATCAAAAGAGGGTTAATCTGTAACTCTCGCGGCTAGATCTTCAAACTTTATAGCCATAGAGTCGCAAACAACACAGCCAATTTACGACTGAGTTGTACGTGTGGCGAGTGGTGTATGCCTTTCGACAAAGTACGCTAATCCGGGAGAATATACTGACAGGAAGAGATTCTCCCTTCTTCTCACTTCTCTCCTGAGGGACTCTAGAGTGGATATGTCGCGAAGGATTTGCCTCGTTACCCATCGCACTTGCTGCTCAGAGCCTGACTCAACGATGGACAGCATACATAATTGGGCGATATTTCTCGCCTAGTTGTTTAGCTGTCGAACTTACCGTAATTCATTTCTTTTTTACTTTCATTTCGACGATATAGTCTAAATAATTATTTCACTCTATCATTCGTTAGCTGCTCACTTTTACCTCGAGATATGAAGTTAATAAACGCCACGTTCAATTAAAAGTGAATTGAACGTTCAATAAAGCTAAGCAACTGACAATGGCAAATTTACGACGACAATCCACTCGAATCCGTAGATTTATAAAGAGAAAAATGGAGGAAAAAAAGGGCAAGGCACGCAACAACGTTCGCGCGGCATCACAAGTGCAGGTGTGTTGTCCGAAAATTCGATAAAAATCACGGAAGCTTCTTGGGAGCAAGAAGGTGAATTATTAGCCAGGTCTCATACACAGCCTTATGTGCTGCATGTGTACGTGAAACGACGCGAAAAGAAAAGGCTTGCTCTTGCGATAGAGGCTGCGCGATAAATCACGCGCGTGCCTCGAAAAGACGAAGCTTTGCCTTCGCGCGCGATTAATCTGCACTCGTTTTTTCCTCTCTCTTCCGATCGATACTCCACATTCCTTCCTTTTCTTTGCTGTCGATTTCGCGGACAATCCTTTCTTTTTTTTTCTATCGAGGTTCGAGGGTTATGAATAGTTTTTCGGATTCAAGAGAGGCCGTGGATTTTACTTCATGCTTTTTAATATTTTTAATTTCAGTTAATTGCGGCTACCGATTTTCATTAAGCTTTGGTATTTTCTCGTATAAAAAGTATTTTAGAAGTATGCTGATAAAATGATTATATTGAAAAAATAACGTACGAGTACTTCGGAATTTTTAAATATTCGGGCTAAATTTCGTTTACAACGTGTAAGCGTAGTTTGCCCTTCTATAGATATTGTGCTCGTGTGAACAGTTACGCACGATAACACATCTTTTCATAAAGTACACGTATGTTTATTTTGTAGAAAAAAAACTATAATACATAAGCGAATGATCAATAAATCAACAATAAACATTCAGTACATACGTGTTAAAGTAAAGATATATAATGGAAAACAAACAGATTGGTTACAACGGCTGAAATAATATTTTGGGAAAGCATTTACTGGTCGGTATCCATACTAACATAAAACAAACATTTCCTCTTGTCTCCCGAATATACATTTCCAAATGCGGTTCATATTGTCGCTCGAGCACTCGGTCATCAATAGCAGAGAGAAAGAAAAAAAAGGGATAGCAAACAAAAATCTATGTATTCCCTAAAAGGCCATTTTTGCAATGCAGACACGAAAGTTATTGCAAAAAAATATTCGATATATTCGTCCTCTAAATTTGCAGTTAGAATATTTGCTTTGTTTTTGACGACAAGAGATAGACAGAGAGAGAACCGCGGTCTCACCTCTAGTTCGGAATACACACCCAGCCAAACAGACAAATTGCATCACGCACGCCGTCAAAGCGCACCGCGAAATAACGTGACACACAAGTGTACGAAAGTGAGAGAAAGAGAGCGAGTATGGGCGAATATTTGAAATTGGAAGTGATACGATCCCTACTAGCGTATATCACCAAATTTCGATCGTACTATATTTTTCGACGATATTTTTTTGACGTTGCCCTCTTCAACACTTCATGATTGACTTTATGCTAATGACATCTATTATATTTCTTGATCAAGACGACTTTGACATGTAATTTTTGCTTATTTTTTCTCTTTAGTAAACGCTATCCTTTGTTGCTTGACGTTTCTTATAAATTTTAAATTATTACTTTATAAATATACAGAAGCTTAGCGCAGATGCATTTTTTAATGAAACCTGTGTACAGTTACGAGAAAAGAATTCCAAGGAATTCGAAACTAAGAATGAAGAATTAGTCATTTTTAATCAGCATTCGAAAAAAAAGAACAGTAATCCTTCCTCGATAGGTTACTAATAAATATTCTCGATAGCTTTATTCACCTGCGGATTATTTGTGAACTTATCGATAATTTCAATTGCTACAACTGAGTATCCTCCATACAGAATTAATATTATTTATGAAGAACAGTTCTTCCAGGTATGTGTGAATTGTTGACGCCCTTTCTCGTGCAAGCGAAGAAGAAAAAAGAAACCGCGAAAGCTTGTTCGTTCTCATTCAGGCGATGAATGCAAACAGTGTTAACATAGAAAGAGAGATCGAGGTACTAGTGGGCGAATAGGAAAATACAGGGCAAATAGTGAAAAATAGAACGACTCTTGTGGTCAGATATATATCGAGTGTGTATAAGGCAAAGCCGAGGGAAAAAATAGAAAGAAGCGTAGAATAACACGATCAGCAATCGGAAAATCGGGGGGAGAGGGAGTAGCTTTTGCAAGGGAATGAGAATTTTGTACTTGCGGATCGCCCGGGAAATTTCGATCTCGATTGCGGGAAATGAATCTCTACATATTCTATTTTCAGCTCATCCGTCGGATACGCGCTGTAGCTGAAAATTCGCCACACCGCATCTCTCTTTCTCGCTTTTCGGAGAGAGAGAGAGAGAGAGAGAGAGAGAGAGGCTTTACCTATTTATAAGCTGCATGCTATTTTCCCTCTCTGTCTGTCTCTCTCTCTCTCTCTTTCTGCCTCCTTCCTATTGCTCGTTCTTTTAACCTTTTCCAGTTCCTCTGAAAAGGCTTGCATATATACTTGGCTTTCCTTTTTCTCTTACAACTGTGGTAGATTCATTATATTATACTGTGTTCTATTATTCATCCAATAAATGCAATTTTATTTGAATAAGAAAAAATCATATTCTTCAAATGTTCAAAATCCAACGTTTAACCATTTTAAATCCAGCGGCTGGAATGAAAACGTTTGTCGTTTAAAAATTCTCGTAAAAGGCGTAACATTCGCAGAATGATCTCCGTAAAAAATATCAGGTGGAAATGTGTGCAGCAGCTCTCAATTTCTCGTTTTACGTGGACTGAAAAAACGTAAAAATAGGGTTTTTTTCAAACGGATGTACTATGCCCCTCGATGTTTCGCCTATAGATGTATTTGCGTACTCAGCGAGAAAAAATATACTAGGGTGAGAAAGGTATAACCTTTCATTTATTTGATGACACCTATCATCCATACTTTCGATATATACATTTTAACATCACAGAAAAATGAATGTCTATAAATTTGTTAATTTGACAAAAGTTCTGATGATATTGCTGAAGATCGATAACACTTACTCCAATGGTTTTACTAGTTCGCAATTCTTCTAGTGCTCGTTTTAATGACACGTGAAAAAATTGCAACGAGTTCCGTTTAAAGAAGTAATGTACATCACAGAACTTCGCATTTCACTTCAAACGAAATATGTTCTCCCAGTTTCAAAGATCCGAGATGGATACTATAAGCAAAAGAAAATTTACGATTTGAAATTTGTCGGACGAGTGTTCACTGCGTGATCTACGAACGCAGGTGAAATCGCGAATGCGCCGCGTATGTAGAGAGGATACAGTCATATGTTTCTCTCTCGAGTAATGATTTCCCTCTGAAGGCAACCTAAACTACGACGAATCACGAAATGCATTTTTCCAATCTCATTTCTACGGTACGCTTTTTATTTGATACACC